TGGTGAATACCGTTTCACTCCCGCCGGCCTAAATTCGAGGTCCTCCGAGAAAATTTCAGTCCAAGGCAGGACCTTTACCTCGCTGTTGTCTCTCGTAGGCCCGGACTATATCGGGAGCTGTCTCTAGAAGTTCAGATCTTGTAAACCAGCGGTCGTCTTCCGGTTCTTGGTAACTAAAATGAACCTTATACTGTTTTTGCGGACGACCCCTACCTCCATTTCTGAAGACATCTTCAGCCACTATACCATCGATGTCATATCTCCCATCCATATCCGGTGGGATCATTGATCTACGGGATGGAAACTGATCACTTGTCTGACAAGGTAACAACTTTGATGCATGGAAAACTGGGTAAGTGTGGAGGTGTGCTGGAAGGTCTATGGTATATGACAGTCCATCTTCGCCGCCCTTGACTTCTAGAACGGGCCACGGTCCTCTATATGTGGGCAGTAACTTCTGCGAGATGTTCTCCTCAGGTGTAAACTCCTTAGAACTGACCCAGACTAAGTCACCTACTTGAAACTGTGAGGGGCAACGATGTTTGTTCGCTTGCTCTATCATCCTATGCTGGGCTTTCCTGAGGTTCTCTACAACAGTAGCTAGTTCTTTCTCGTGTTGTACAGCAAACTCCCTGGTCCTGGGCGGTAATCTGTGAATCTGATCCCGGTTGAGTCCCTCAAACGGTCTGCGCGGTCTAAAGGACTTGTGCAGTTCGTTGGGAGTGCGGCAGGTGGATAAATGCACGTTGTTATTATACACACTAGCTACTTTAGGCAACATCTCATCCCAGTTAATCTCATCTGGCCTAATGTACATACGCAGAACTTGCTGTAGGATCTTGTTCATTTGCTCTGTCTGACCGGTAGTCTCTGGATGACGGTCGGACGACATCAACAACTTAGATCCATATACTCCCATGAGTTCTTGCCAGTTCTGGCTAGTAAAGCGACTATCTCTATCGCTAACTATAAACAGTGGGATTCCATTCTCACTCACCCAACAGTCAAAAAATCTCTGTATGACTAAATCAGTACGTGCCTCTGAAGGCAAAGGGACAAAAATTGCGTACTTACTAAAACGGTCAACTATGACCATGACTTGGCTCTTGCCATGCCTACTCTTGACTTGAGTGTCCATGAAGTCTATGGACACTAAGTCTCCCGGCTGATCCGGAATGGGCAAGGGTCTGAGAAGACCTAGCAGGGCGCTCGTAGAACTCTTGTTGCGTTGGCAAACCTTACAACTGCGAACATACTCTACGCAGTCATTCTTCATCCCTGGCCAGGTATACGCGCGCATCAGATTGGCTAAAGTCTTTTGCCAACCGAAATGACCCTCTGTGTCGTGGCATTCCCCCAAAATCAAACTACGGATCTCTTCGCTATTRGGGATGCACAGCCGGTCAAAAACATTAGTCTTCTCAAAAAGCAACCCCTCAGTAGTGCGGTAGTTCGGTTCAGTCTCTGGGGCCTCCTTGACCTTCTTGAGGAGGTCACTATAGATAGGGTCCTGCGCGTAGGCTTCTCTAACCTTCTGTTGCAGATCCTTCCCTATATCGAGGTAATGTACAATTGCCCCAAAGTAATCAGCTCTTCTACTTAGAGCATCCGCGACTATGTTGTACTTCCCTTGACAGGCTTGAGCTCGAAGTCGTACTGATCTATCTTTGCGGCCCACCTAGTAAGCTTAGGTGTCATCTTGGCCTGCGTCTTTAACCATCGTAACGTTTCATGGTCGGAATAAACTTTGAAGTGCCTCCCAAGCAAGTAGTGCTTCCAGTGGTCTAACGCTTGCCTGAGAGCGTAGAGTTCCCTCTCATAGGTAGATGTCGCAACCTTTTTTGAAGGAATTCTGGCGGACATGAACTCTACGGGTCTATACCCATTGCCATCGTCTTGCTGTAACACTACGCCTATGCCGTATTGACTCGCATCGGTCGTGACGACAAAGGGCAAGGACGGATCGGCGACTTTAAGGACTGGATACTGTATCAATGCCGGCTTTAACTTCTTCATGGCAGACGTGCAGTCCTTATCCCACTTCCAGATGGTCTTTCTGCGAAGGGGCGCAGCGATGGTAGAGAAGTTCCTCATGAACTTCCAGTAGTAATTATCTGAGCCCAGGAACGAGCGCAACTCTGTCAGCGTACGTGGCGTGGGCCAATCTCTAATCGCTGCGATCTTGTTATCCTCTGGCTTAACGCCGTCTCCGTCTAAGACGTGGCCTAAGTACAAAACTTGGGTTTTCGCCCAATCGCACTTCTTTGCATTGATCTTGAAGTTAGCTTCCCTCAGCTTCTCCAAAACATGCCTGAGATGACCCTGATGCTCTTCGAGGGTCCTGCTAAACACTAGAAGGTCATCTAGGTAAACTACAACAAATCAATCTAACCACGGCCTAAACAAATCGTTCATACAGCGCTGGAATGTAGCTGGCGCATTGGTTAATCCAAAGGGCATCACTATGAACTCGTAGTGCCCATATCTAGTCCGGAAGGTTGTCTTATACTGATCATCAGGATGCATCTCTATTTGATGATATCCGGACTTCAAATCTATCTTGGAAAAATACTTCGCCCCCTGCACTCTATCTAAGAGATCGTCTATCCTAGGCAGTGGCTCAACATTCTTTACTGTAATAGCATTCAGACCCCTATAGTCTATGCACATCCTCAACTCTCCATCTTTTTTAGGAACAAAGAGAACAGGCGCTCCAAAAGGAGACGAACTGGGCCTAATCCAACCCTTCTCGAGGAGCTCGTCTAATTGCTTGCGAAGCTCCTCTAAGTCCCGTGGGGACATCCTATACACAGCGCCCTTAGGAGTTCTACTGCCAGGCTCTATCTCAATGCGGTGTTGGATGGGCCATGGTACTACTCCTATCGGCGGCTCAGTTAGATCCTTGAACTCTTCCAGCAGCTTGGCAATCGTAGGGTCCATCGGCTTTTCTTCCGTGGGCTTAGTCACCGGCCTAACATAGGCGACAAAAACCTGTTCCTCCAGTTTCTCCTTTTTAACTAATCTGGCGAATGCAGGTGCACTAAGGCAGCAATGTGCCAGTGGATTCTCTACTCCTGACACGTGAAACAGGCGGGCAATCTTAGCCTCGCCTGAAGAACTGGGGAGCCTACACTCGTGCTCCTTCAAAYGGAGCGTGGCCCCGGCTGCCTCTCCCCAATCCACTCCCAGAACAATATCAAATGGGAGGCTGTCTTCTACGAGAAGAGTCAGGGAGTGGAGGACCTTCTCCACTTTCCCATCTTTCTCTAGGCGGAAATACGCCTGGACTCCCTCWACGTAATCCTCTACAACCATGGTACGATTGTCTGCGAGGATACTAACTATGGGGTCTGTCAATTTCTGGACTTTAAGTCCCAGCCTCAACTTCTGCAGCGCTTTCTTACTAATATAGCTGCGGGTGGCCCCTGAGTCTACTAGGGCCCCTACTCTACCTCTAAAAATCTCTGTATCTAGTAAGATTAGCTGCCCTTTATTCTCCTTCTTCATCTTGGCCCAGGCGGGCCTCCTCTCCTTCAACTCTCCTGCTACGCCTGTGAGGGAGGTGTCTAGAGAGACCCTAATACAAGCGGTCTCTGGGCAGCTATCTAGACACCGGCCTGCAACCTCTGCCATAGGCACATGTGGTGTGGGAGTCTCCTGCCGGCTAGCGCTATATTCCCCACATGGCCTAATGGTAGGGGCAGTTGCTACCCCTACCGGCGGCTGCCTTTTGGCCCTTGGGCACCCGTTCGGGTCTCGCGATACTTAGGACAATATTTAATGATATGGCCCGGGTCACCGCAAAAAATGCACTGGCCCCGGTCCAATCGTTGTTGCCATAAAGTCTGGTCCAGACCCAAAGTTTCCCAAGGCCTACCCTGTGGTAGCCCCGGGTGCCATCCTCCTACCCTATAGGGAGACCTATTCCTAGGACGTTTTTGCGGGGGACCTTGACCCCTGCCTCCCGCTTGGCGGTTTCCTCCTCTACCGCCAACCCCCTAATCGCCCTGAAACCGGCTCCCTGAGGCCCGGCCCCCTTGGCCCTGGCCTCGTCCTCCTTGCGGCCTCCCTCCAGCCGCGACAGCAACGTAAGTCCTCCCCTAGCCCATACCGCTGTCCTCTTCCTCTAACCCCCACTCGATCTGTTCGTAGGGGATCTCATCTACACTACCTTCATCTAAGGTCAGGACAAGGTTGTCCTTGGTCTTTACCTGCCCAGAAATAGTGCGGCCCTTCCATTGCTTTCCCTTATCCAAATCTTTGTGCCAGAAGGTGGAAACTGACATAGACTTGGCCTCAAAGGCCACCACCTCACGACTAAGAGAATCCTACCTAGTGGCAGGGTCTTCGCTCTTTGCGAAGAAATGCCCTCGAAGGGCTTCGGGTATAGCCCCATAGAAGAGGCCGACCAACTGGGTGTCCGTAACCCCGTGGTCAGGGATAGCCACTAACTCATCCATTGTACTCTTAAGGGCCCTGACACTTTTCCACTTACGAGAGTGGATCGTCTGCAGCCTATCTGAGGCTTTAACGCTGCGGGCGACATCAGCGAATCTCTCACGCAACAACTTCAGGAATTCGGTGAGGGACGTGAACGGGAGTACGCAACGGGATCGTCACTACGGTTGGCAGCGCGAACTAGGGATCTTGTAAAACTGGCGGCATCATCTCTCAGCGCGTGGATCGCAATTAGAACCTGTTGATCCGGGGAGACCTGTTGCAAGTGCACATAGGTCTTAACGTTGGCTTCCCAGTTGTCAAAGTTCTCTTCCCTTTTCCCACTGTAGGAATCAGGGAATTTGACCTTGACCGGTTCCCGGCGAGGAAGACGTGCTTCCTCCTCCTTGGGGGCTGCCGCCTTGACGCCCTCAATGGCGCCAACGCAAAACCGCTCAGTCTTGTTGAGGCGGTGGCCCACCTCAGTGCCTATAGCACCTACCAACTCTCGAGCAAAGTCCCGGAATCCCAACTTTATTGAACGCTCAGCTATGTGTTGACTCCGACTAAAGTCATATTGCTCCGCCTGAATTCGTGCCAAGCGTGCAACATTTCGAGCTATGACTCGCATTTGGGCTGGGAGTTCAGTCTGGGCGGCTAGTTGCTCTTCTATGTTTTTTACCTCCTCTAATTCTTTTGCCGCCTCCGTTGCCGCGTCCACTCTCCTCTTCTCCCTCATCACTGCCAACCTCCATTCCATTCTCTTCTCATCTTTCAGTGCCTGCCGCTTTACAACATCTTTTTCTGCTTCCCAAGCTCTCATAGCGGTTTCCTGATCGTCCTTAGAGATATACATCGCCACCTCCTCCTCTTTGCCCAAGGATAAGTTGGCGACCCACTCTGAGATCCGCTTCTCCATCTCCTCATCCCTACTGCCACTGTACTGCCCCTTCTTCCTCTGCAATGGCATTTCATCTTCTTCCTCCTCTTCCACCTCTTTCAACTTCTCTTCCTCTTCTTTCTGTATCCTGTCCTTCCCTCTGGCCATCTCTTCTTCTATCTTCTTCAATTTGGCCGCCTGCTCCTCCTTCAAGGCCTTCTTCTTGGCCTCCTTCTTCTCCTTCCTCTCCTGCAAGATGGCGGCCATCTTCTCCTCCTCCTCCTTCGTGTATGGCTTGGTGGAGGCACCACCTCGGGTATCTACTCTACACGTGAAGGTGTGCCAGAACCCCAGAGGAAAGAGGAGACGCCAGAGGGTCCCCCAGAGGGAGAACCCAACGAGCAACCCATACATCGGATAATCGTCCATCGTGGTGTTAGGTGCACGACAATGTCCCACTCCTCACCACTTAGACCTACCCGGACACACTAACCTATTGTCTGACTCTCTAAGATCCACTACTCACAACTACTCTTAAGGCTGTCACTACTGAACTAACAGCTGATCAGGAGGCATTTAAGGAGATCCCCCAAACTCCGCAAGAATTCTTTAACGTCGCAGTCAGGACGACGTGATCAGCGTAGTTCTTCCTCGCGATTTCAGCCCACAACTCAGCCGTTCCGGCCTCCTGTGCCACACCGAGCAGCCCGCCGGTCTATACCGGTCCTTGGAGGGGTTCGTATCCCTCGGGACAGTCGAGTCGTCAGACACAGATCATCAGCCTTACTAGGTCCGCTAGGGGAGCGGTTCAACCAGGCCTCAACACTTAAAGACGGCCTTCGTTTCAGCTTACAGCTCAGAGTTTGGACCCTCTACACTGAACTCAGTAGACCTGCCGGACAGTACCGGTCATTGGGCTAGACGAGTTGTTTAACGAGCGCTCGCCACTCATGCCCAAGTCTCCAGATGCCAGAGTAGAGATTAGTCCTACTAAGTCCCGTGCAGGTTTGGCAGCAAGGCCCTATCCTTCATCCACAGAGAGCTATCACCTAAGACAGAAGAGACTCAATGCAGAAAGGAAAGACAGACAGACTCAAACTCAGCAAGTACCGTGGGGTAAGTGCACATCCACAGGGTAAGGGGATAGGCTAAGGGCTCAGCGAGATATCACCAACTCCAGCTCGGTCAAAATCTTGGTCAACAGCTCCGGTCAACGCCTTGGTCAACGCTGAGTCAATGCGGGCAACCCCCAGTCAACGCTTGGTCAACACCCTTGGTCAACACCTGGTCAACCCTCTAGTCAACGCTTTGGTCAACGCCCGGTCAACCCTTCACCTCGGCTATGGCTGCCGGCACCATCACCTTCGTCACCCTCGCCGCTTACTTCCCCTTCCTTCACTCTTCTTCTTCTTCACTTTCTCTGGTTTTTTTTTTTGTGTGTTCACCCCCGGCTATATCTGTCTTCTTCTCCAGCGTCCTCCTTCCACACTTCTCTTTCTCTCTCTCCTTAGTCCCGCCTTCTCTGTCCTCCCTGTCTTTCTCCTTCGGTGCCCTGTGATGAAGCCCCGCGGCTATGGCCGCTATCTTCCTCCTCGGTCGGACAGCGCAGCTCGCCTCACAGTAAGTGACAACCAATCTTGGATCGCTCATCTCTCTCTCTCTCTCTCTCTCTCTCTCTCTCTCTCTCTCTCTTCCGCCGTAGCGGTATCTTCAGCGCAACAGGTAAGAACCCAATCTTGTATCTCTCATCTCTCTCTCTCTCTCTCTCTCTCTCTCTCTCTCGATCTTCTTCTTCGTCGTGGTCTTCTTGTTGCAGGTGCGCGGCGGCTTCTTCCACCTCGAGGTCCGCTATGGCGGACTGCCTTCTCCAGCGGCCACTTCAGCTATGGCGCATCGTCCCTGCACACGACGGCGCGCGCGGAACAGCGGGTACCAGCTCCGATACCAGTGCAATCAGACTCGACTTATTCACACTTCTCATGCACGTGAACAACAGCACACAACTGGTGACTTGCGCCCACACAGTACACAGGGATATGTCTTTCAGGTAAGTTCGCTTCCACTGGCTATGGCGACTATGCGCCTCAAACACTCACTGTTCACACTCTGGATCACCCTGGATGTCCCACACGCGATACCGAGTACACACACACAGTACACACACTCTTCCCCTAAGCTACAGCTATGGCGGCTATGGCCGCTGCTACCCTACTGCTATGGCTRCAGTACGTCACTCTCGCCCTCTYCGTCTTCGGGCCTTCTGCAKACCTCCTCGCACAAGCTGCTAAGGCAGCGCTTCCGCATGGCTTCCGCAGGAATGAATAMTGGMTGGACGCAGCCTCTTGATTTATACTTCTGYGCTGCGTTGGTCTGCCCTGTGTCCCTTGGCCCCTGGTGCTCACAGTCCCAGACGGTACTTGCTGGACAGGACCGGACTGCCTAACTGGGACTGTTGACTCAGCGAGGTGGCCTACCATCACTTGACCACTTGCCTCTGTTCAACGCAGGCTTACTCCGAAAGGCCACTTCTAGAAACCTCTAACTTGGCCTTTCGGTACTGTAGGAGCTACGACTTTGCCCCTTCAGGTAAGTAGCAGCTACGACCTTGACCCTTCAAACATCCTACAACTACGACTTCGGAACTGTTTAGACTCCTACCCTACAGGTCTACAGTTCGATTCCCTTCTACCCTGTGACCTACGAAAACCTACCTACCACTGGTGGTCCTACAGGTCGCAGGTTCAAATCTACGGGTTGACACTGGTACTGTACACAGGTAAGACGGGGAACTAGGGATCGAGCCCTGGGATCTGCATTCGCTACTGCGAACTCGTGAATACCATTTCAAGGAGTTGGATATGGTGGATACTTACCTGTTGGCACCATACCTGTGATCTGAGGGCAGACGCTGGCTGAGCCAGGCCCTATATTGAGAATGGAACGAAAGAGACTTGTACTCTGTTGGCGCTTAACTCTTGGATTCGAGATACTCTTGTATGATGTTGTTGTGATAATATGAGCTGCGCTATCTGGTTCTCATCTCATCTCGATTTGGCTTCGTGTGAAGTTTCTCTATCTGTATGATGACATCTATGCATGCAATGAGATACACTCCAGCAAGCTATGAACAGTCAGGTTCCTTGCATGCCTGTCCAAACCCTCCAAATCCCTCGTCAATCAATCAACCAGAGCTCCAACAACTGAAATCAAACCACTTGAAAACCGTGGCAACTGGCATGAAACTTGATGAAAGATTATTCTTCAATACAGCTGGATGGCAGTGGCAAGCAGGGGAAGACCACTGCTATCTGCTGTCATTCACAGCGCACATAAGGCGACCGAAATTGCAAAGGAACATAGATACAAAGCTACGCAACGTGCATAAACAGTTATTGGCAAGGGTACAAAACACAAGGCTTCGTATATAGAAAGGGAGAACAGCGCACAGGAGAACTTTTACCATCGTATATATTGTATATATATCGTCAAATAGAACTGCCCGGTAAACCGTAGGCAGAGAGGGAGAAGAGGACAGCAAACGAGGGGCTGTGTATATATATATTACACATCCCCTCCTTTGTTGTCCTCTTCTCCCTCTCTGTCTACGGTTTACCCGGCAGCTCTATTTGACGATATATACATACATACATACATAAATATCGCCAAACAAAACTGCCCGGTAAATTGTCAGCAGAGAGGGAGAATAAAGCAGACTATCACTCACCCACACCAGATGGAAAACTCTACAGACTGTCAGTTCACACCACTACCCTCAACGTACCTGTGACGAAAATTAAAGCAGACTATCAGACTATCACTCACCCGCACCAGATGGACACCAGATGGAAAACTCTACAGACTGTCAGTTCACACCCCATCACAAGCCAACAAAACACCCACGAAACAAAGAAAGGTCCATCACACTCCAGACACGCTGCTGGCACTAGAGGCACAACATGGCCGCGTAGTGATGGGCCCGACCACAGACGCTCAACTTCACTGGAGAAAACCGTAGCAGGGTGCTATCGAAGTCGTGGTATATATCGTCAAACAGAACTGCCCAGTAACTGTCGACGGAGAGGAAGAAGAGGACAACGAACAACGGGCTGTGACAAACTGCTTCGTCGTATATGCATGTGTATATATATATATATATATATATATATCGTCAAATAGAACTGCCCGGTAAACCGTAGGCAGAGAGGGAGAAGAGGACAACAAACGAGGGGCTGATATATATATATATATATATAGATATCATCACAAACAGAACTGCCCGGTAAAACCGTAGGCAGAGAGAGAGAAGAGGACAACAAACGAGGGGCTGTGACAAACTTTTTATATATATATATATATATATATATATATATACTCAGCCTGCCTGTGACACTGGCTTAGCTCAGTTGGTACACACGTGAACGGTTGAAATACAGACCTGAGTTCGAGTTCCAACTTTGTCACTCAGGACCGTGCCCGCAAGCGTTCGTTGAGCCAAGAGAAGGTTAGCATTTCTGGTGCATACCGTAATGGTACAAACCAGAACAAGAACCGACCTCTCTCACATAGTACAGGATAGCGCAACGGAAGGCTAAAATACCAATGATCAGACCAATCAATGTCGCAATGCAGACCAAGCATAGATCATCATCATCACATGGTGTGAAACGGCATGGCGCTCACACAGGAAGAATGCGTCAATCCCCAAACCATACACAGACGAAGAGGAGGGGAATCAGATGAAGAAGAGGGGGAAGATGGGAATGTCTACAACACCAAGTCTTCGATACAGGCCCCAAATAATCCCTCGTCCAATGTCTCGATCCCAATGTCGAGTCTGAATCCAAATGTCGTCAAATCTCAAAGTCGCAATCTCTCTCTCTCTCTCTCTCTCTCTCTCTCTCTCTCTCTCTCTCTCTCTCTCTCTCTCTCTCT